GAGGTGTTTCATCTGGTGATGAAACACTGTGTCGAATGTTTGATATTTCTTCTCAAACAAAATCATTTTTGAAGGAGAAATTAAGGATGCAAAAATGAGCAGTTTTTCATCTGATATCCAAACACTCATTAAACATTAATTTCCTTTGAATTTTCTTTATGAATTATTAATGAGTTTGAGAAGAGTTGATGAAAAGTTCGACATCTGGCTCAGTTAGGTTCGTCTAAATGAGTTTGGATCGTCCATCGTCCATTTAACCCGGGACAGCATTTATTATGCATGCAACAATTTCACACTGTTTCTCACAAATAGCGTTAATATGAAAAGAGTCGAAACATGTATGCATAATAAATGTATGGGGTTATACGAAAATCTTACCTTTCGTTTTGTTTTGTTTTGCTAACATGCTAAATTACGGGACATCTTCTGTTTTGTGGGCCCTATTTTCACTGAAAACCCTTCTCGAAGAAAGCTCCCCCGCAGGAGCCAGACAGGTACGGAAAACAGTCTAGAATGCTGGTAAACTCCTTCGTATAAGAAGATCACGAAAGCAGCAAGATAGATGCTGGTCTATGATTCAGAGAGAAGCATTCGAATGCGTCGTGGAACTGGTTCGATAAGATCATAAGAGTAGCATCCCAGGGGCTCTTTCCGCCGCCGTCTATCCCGACCCGACAGACCGCCCCTGGGTTTACGACGGGAAAAAGCCTAATTTCACGTTTCATGGAGGTCGTAAACAAGCGACGGCTACATTTTCTTTTTCTTTCTGAACTTGAATATGGTTCTTAGGAATTCGGCTCAAAAAAAGTTCACTTGCATTTGACAAAGTAAATGAGTAGGAGTAATCACCATAGATTAAACTGACGAATTAGTCGCAGAGAGGGAGATTTACGCCAATCAGAAATATGGAAATATTTTGAATGAATAATGTTCTTAGTGAAAAGGCCGTTTATTTTTTCAATAAAATCGCAAATATACCTTGCCGTGGTGGGCACATATGGTATGTAAGCTCCGTGCATAGGGTAAGTGACCCAGAACATTCACAGCTTCCCATCTCAAGGTTACTGCAAAGTAACACAAAAGTTAATTTAGAACCTTCTCTAAAATTAAGCCAATCTGTTCACATTTCGAAACGTCTCTTAAGGAACCAGCTTTAAGATAATTTTGTAATAAAAAGTATTATAATTAGTAATTAGTTCAGGATTGTAATTGGTACTAAGTCGAGTGTTGTAATTGGTTAAATGT